GTCACAGGTAACACTTAGAGCCATGCAGCAAAGGAGTGTGTGTGTGTGTGTGTGTGTGTGTGTGTTGGGGGAAGAACCCTGGTGAGCCCACACAGGCAGTGAACGGGAGAGGCTGCATGGGAGTCAAAGCATGGGGTGGCCTCTCAGAAAGCAAAGGCGCAGTAGAACGTGGACGTAGTTGACCAAAAACTTAAAGGACGTGGCCAGTGGTGCCAGATGTTGCCAAGAGGTTGTCTAAGGTTAGGAATGAGAAATGGCGTGGGATGTGAGTGATGGTGGCAGGGGCCCGTGGGGCGGGCAGTGGAGATGGCAGCCCAGGAGGATGGAGCAGGCTGGCACGTAGGAACTGAGGGGGGATTTTGGTGTGGTGATAGTCTCCAAGGTTTTCATAAAGCCTGGCTGTGGAGCCCAGGGAAGACTGGAATGGAGGGAGGTTTTCTTTCTTTCTTTTTAAGATAGGAGCTGTTTTTAGAATACCATATGTAGAAAGGAAGAAAAGAGATGGATGCGCCGGGAGGGAATCATGGGTCCCCTTGGCTTCTTCTTAGCGAGAACCATGTCCTCTCCTTCAAGAGGGGGGATCTTGAAGGCCAGGCCTGTGTTCAGACGTGTGTGTGTGTGTGTGTTGCGTTAGGGGAGGGACCTGGGAGCAGCACAATGGCCGTGGCTACTTAGAATCTGTTGAGGGCTTTGCAGTGAGCTCCCCCTTATCTTCTGAGATGAGAAGCCTCTTTCGGAAGTTGAGGGAGCCCTGGGGGTGTCATGGATATTCGTTGGGCTGCCACCCGCAGGCCGGCAGTTTGAAACCTCCTGCTGCTCCAGCTCCGAGGGAGAATGACTGGGCTTTCTACTCCCGTAAACACAGCCTCAGAGACCCACGGGGGCAGTTCTACCCTGTCCTACAGGGTCACCGTGCGCCGGCAGCGACTCAGTGGCAGCGAGTTTGGCTTCTTGGTTTTTCTGAAGTTGTGGCAGCACTTGGCCTATGGGAGGTAGGAGGCGGGTGATGGTGGTTGGAAATGATGTTGTGGGAGCTATCGATACTCCTGGCTGTGTGTGGACATAGCTTCCGGGCACCCCAGAGGCCGGTGCGTAGCCATTCCAACATCCCTTTCAAGTATTCTTTCAGCACCTTCTCCCCGAGTGGAGCAAGGCCCACCCAATACCCTCATTGGCAGTAGATGAGATTGAGACCTCAGGAGAAGAAAGCTGTGGAGAGGGCGGGGTCTCGGCTGCTCTCAGCAGAGGGACGGGTCGCAGTAAGAGGACCAGGGTCGCCAAGAGGAGTAGAGCCGGCTTAGGATGGCACCCTGATGAGATGATGTCTGGTTCTTAGTAAGTATATTAATTACTGACCTCTCTAGGGAATCTAAATGAAGGCAGAAGACACTGTCATCTCCTAAATAATTGATACTTTTAGAGAGCAGTCCCAGACTCGCACACGTTGCTACGTGGGCCCCCGGGGCCTCTGGATGATCCCAGGAGAGAGCAAGGCTGAGGGACAGTGTGTTTCACTCTTGTTTGGCAGGACACGCTCCCACACTGCTCAGGTGAGGGCAGAGGGTGAGCCCAGGCTCTACAGTCCAGATAGGAGCCCCACCGTGTCCGATGACAGCTTCACTGAGTCTCTGAGCATCCCAATCCCCTCATCCTTTACTTGCACAGCCTGGCTGTCACCTGCATAGGGACCCTACCTGGGGCCCTTCCAAACCTGCCTTCCCTTTGTCCACTGAGACCTGGAGCCCCTTCCTGGCGACACCGCCCCCCCATGGGAAGGCCTCCCCACAGCTCCTGATTTGACATTCCCATCTGAGCCAGATACGGGCTCTCTCCTGCCCTGGGGCCTGCTGCCTGTCCCTTTCTCTTCTGTCAGTGCTCCCACAGCTGGCCCAGCCCCACAGTCCTGGAGTCACCAGCACCGAGGGTCAACGGAACAGCAAAGCCAGGCCCGTCCACCAGGCCCTGGTCCTGCAGGGCCCCGCTGCCTTCTGGTTTTCCTCATCCAAGTCTCAGGTGGGCTCTGCCTGCCTGCCTGCCCACACAGCTCTGACTGTCCCTCCCTGCAGATGTCTGCCCAGAGGTGGAGGTGGCCCAGTGGCTCACTCAGGGGAGGCCTGACCCTGGCCCACACTTCCCTGGGTTGCTCCGTGGGAAGCTGGTCTTGGTTAAGGTGACCAGACGTCTGCTTTTGGCAGGACAGTCCCGGTTTTTAACAATTTGTCCTGCGGCGTTTTTAAAAAGTCCTGATTTTTGGACAAGCTAGGTTTTCGGCTGCCATGTGGCTATTTCACCAGGATATGAGTTTTATCAATGGTGTCCCGCTTTACCAATGTTAAAATCCGGTCACCTTAGTCTTGGTGCTCTGACTGAGGCTTGCTGGGAGCCTCGGGCCAGACGCACATATTATCACCTACTCTCTCTCCAGCAATCCTGGAACGCTGGGAGGACAGACTCCTGGAGGTCACAGATGGAGCTCACCTGGGCGAGCTGCTGGGTCTGCTGCTGCCTAGCGGAACACGTTTTTCTAATACAGATACCATATCATTCCCAGAGTTCAATCACGCCAATCTTTCTTTTAAAATTCCACCTGCCCTCATGCCTTGCAGAAACCGCATGAGCATAATGCAAACCGGCTGCGGTCAGCTTTTTAGCTCCCGGGGCAGCTGTAACATGAGGCCAGAGAAAGAAATAACTAGCCCCCATCTCAACTCTCTCTTTTTAAAAAAAAAAAAAATGGATATTTAGAAACAGTAACGACCGAAAAAAAAGATTTTTTTTTCGCGTCTGACAATACGTGAATGCGTTCTCATTCTGAAAGATTCAAGGAAGACTTCAGTGTGTGTGTCATATGAAGGTTCTTCTTTATTTTGTCTTCCTATTCCCTTCTTTAGCCCTAGTGGGGTAGTGGTTGCATGTCAGGCTGCGATCTGCACGGTCGGCAGTTCGAAACCACCAGCAGCTCCCAGGGAGCAAGAGGGGCTTTCTACTCCCGTGAACAGTGACAGTCTCAGAGACCCCCAGCGGTCGCTGTGAGTCAGCATCAACTCGATGGCAGCGAGCTTGGTTTCTGGGTTCCCGTCTCCAGAGACTGGATTGCCATTAGTGCTTGGATGTGAGCCCTCACAGACCTTTAATGCATGTTTATGATGCGGATGCTACGCACAGCACCTTCATGTACTCATAGAATAGGATCTCACCATGACTGTATAAAGGAGCCCTAGTGGCGCGGCAGGTTCAGCTGGCCTGCTACCAGCATCTCTTATTTTCTAGCCTCTTCAGCTCTCTTGTTCTCCATTCACAACCAGGTCAGCAGTTCCAATCCACCAGCTGCTCCATAGAACAATGAGGAGGCTGGCTGCTGCCGAGAAGACGTGCGGTCTCAACACCTCCCCACCCCCACCCCCCGCAGCTCTTCTCTGTGTGGTCGGCTTGCTCTGAGTGGGGATCGACCCGAGGGCCGTGGGCGGGTCTGTTGCTGCAGAACTCACGATCACACATGTACAACATCACACATGTACAACGGCAAACATTCTCTCGGAGTTTCTGCGGGTTGGGAGTCTGGACACAGCCGAGCCGGATGCCTGCGACTCCCCTCTCTCATAAGCTCACAGCTGCAAAGTCAACTGGCCCGGGGGCTCATCTAAAGACCCGCCCCC